GAATATTTTTTTTTCGACTACGATTTACTTCTTTCAGAACTTAAAATGACAATTTAAATTTTCATTTCCTTAATTAATGTGTCTAATTGTTTATGCTTTTGTCCTTGGTTGTTGGTTTTTAATTCATCAATAAGTATTGACGTTTGCATGCCTAATGAATTTACGTAGTTTTTAACAAAATGTCTTTGTGCATAAACTGTTGTTTAACTTTCACAAAAATGCACCTATATCTCGTGCTGTAGGTCTTACATACGCTTCGGATACAGAAATATAAATTTAGTGTTCTCATTTTTTTTTAAAGAACACATTTTTTAGCATCTTATCCGTATACATTACACAAACATATAAGAGGATTAAAAATAAAAAATACGTTAATTGTAAAACTTTGAATTAATGTAGAACATTGACATCGAATCTGGAACGTAACTAAGAAATATTCGCACGAAAAGTTATGTTGTTCGGATAATATTATGATTGTTTTGGGAATACGCCAAGTGGTAACCGATCCTATGACTTATTTGACCCCGGGGAGGGCCCGCTCCATGCCGGAACTTCCCGATAGTTCCCATATTAAAACTTGACTTGATTTACGATTTCTCTGCTATGGAAAGAAATCGCGGCTGATTTTATCCGGTGATGTAAAAAAAATTACAGAAAAATTACAATTCTACGACTTCCTTAGACTTATTAAGACATCATAAGTAATTTAAATAACACTATTCCCTAATAGAGATTATCCCTAGATCCCTATTCAAACATTAAGATTAAGAATTATTGACTAGATTAGGTTTTTTTTAAGATTAATAATTGTTTTTTCTTTGTATGTGATTTTTCATTGAACTTTCTAGATCACACAAGTAAAGCAGTTCGTTAGATATCAGAACTTCCGATTCCCTAAGCGTTTAGAGATGTTGTTTCCACAACTAATTAGGCGAAAAGGTCTGTCCTTCAGGAAATGCCTAGCGGTTCAGAGTTCGCGTCCCGTGGGACCCTCCTCATTAGGGGCACACCTGCGCGCGCACGTGGACACTAAATAGTTTTTGCCACTGCTTTGTACAGGATTTCACACTTTTCGAGTGTTCTGTATTTACAAGTTGTTACTGATTCAAGTGTTTCGTCTTCATTTCTGGAGAATGTCTTAAACTTGATTCTAACTACGTTGCTTTAAGGATCGATTTTGAATATTTGAAAAAAAATTTAAGTGTTTTCCCATGTCTGTTTTTATGTTTTATAAGGATGCATGTCATTTGTTTTTTCGAATCAGACGTAATAACAATTTTCAAAGGAGCGTATGGACAAGAGATGCAATAGATATCCTATTGCATCTCTTGTCCATTTTTTTTACCTGTCTTATTTAATTGAAATGGTTCGGCTAAATTTAAAGTTGTAAAAAAATTAAGATACATACATATGGTCGAAAGTTGTCATGTTAAGACACCTTGCAAACCCAGTAACACACAAGGCTTTCGATTACAATAGATCCCTTAAAAACCATTTGTGCCAATCCTTTCCACTCATCGTTTTTTTTCTCCCTTCCATTATGCACCGACAACACTTGCGCAGGCGATTATTTGACAAGAATCTTTCTCTGAATGTTATTTACTTTCATCAAAAGGTGCTCTATATTTTATGTAGGGTAAACGCACCAGGTAATGTCATGTAAAACTTTAAATTCCAAATTCAATTTCTTATTTATGATATACTTAAGACAATTCACTACTTAGATATTGTTAATCAAACAAAATGTTAAATTTATTAATATGAAATCGAGATAATTTTATGATGAATGATTATAGTGACCTCATTACTTTTTATTATTTACTGTTATCTATTTAAGATATCATTTGAAGTTGTTAAAATTTAATTTATTAAGCAACGATTAAATAAGCAACAATTGTTAAATTATTGATTTAACATCTGAAATCTGTACTACTTGTGTCGATTACTGGTACGTTTACCTTACTGACCAAAGGTGCGTTTACTAGACGGGTTGATTGAAAAGTTGCGTACATATTCGTATTGTGAAAGGAGTGGCTGTTTATTCATTGTAACATCTGCTGCTGCAATATGCATGTCACTGACAAACTATAAAGTGTCAATGATAAAAGCTGCTATAAATACGTAATATTCATCTTATAATTCGACCCCACTATTGATTTTGTATCAATTAAAAACTTTTATAGGCCATTTCTTTAATAAAGAGCGTCGGTGGCTCAGGGGTCAAGCACTTGACTTGCAATCTGCAGGTCTTGGGTTCGAATCCCGTGTACCAATGTGTTTTTCGATTTACATATGTACATTTATCCGACGATATTACGGTGAAGGAAAACATCGCCTGCACATACCTGAGAAGAAATTTAAAAGATATGTGTGAAGTCAACCAACCAGCACTTGGCCAGCGTGGTTGACTATGGCCTAATCACTCTTAACTTAGGGCAGGCTCCGAGCCCATCGGTGGGACGTATACTGATGATGATTTCTTCATGTAATTATTTCAGCATTTTTGTTTCTTGATTTGTTAGGCCGAGCGTGAAGTGCATTTGACATGGATGCATTCGTTTTGAAATTATAAAACTCAAGGCTTAAAGTACCGTTATTTTACACCAATTTTAATCGAGTTAACTTTCATTCAAGGACACATTCAAACAGCAACAACTTATTGATCTGTAAATGAAAACTAAGCCGCACCTTTTAATAAGTTTTGTTTCTACAAAATATTATAAATCATTTGTAGACTGAACAATGTAATAAACAACAAAGAAAGATTCAAACGACATAAATTGCTCCAAATATTCCCACTACCTCTTCCTTTATAGATCAGGTAATTATTTTTTAGCGTAAGAAAAAAATTTGTTACTTTGCAGCTACCCTGGTGAAAGTTTTCTATGAGATCCGCTCATGAACAAACAGACATAATGCATTTTTTTATTATACGAGAATCATGCAAAAAAATTGCGCGGACCTTTCTCCGAAAAGTCCGTGGGTTTCGACCACAAAAGGGTTTTAGATTTCACAAACAGATGGCATTTTTTCTATACAAATAAATAAAGAAATATGTCTTCTTGATACATTTTTGGTTAGTGCTTTATTTATAAGTTTAAATAGTTTCCTCGATTGATTGCGATTTCATTTATAAGACCTATATATATGTTGCAACCTAAAATTTTGTTGTATATAGACATACATATATTGTTAGTCTATTTTATAAAGTACCAGCTGTCGCCCGCGACTCCGTCCGCGTGGATATATAAAAAAACATAATTAGTGTAGCCTATGTGTTCCTTCAGACTATTTTCTATACGTATAACAAATTTTATCGAGATCCGTTCAGTCGTTCTAGAGATATCTTCAAACACCCATTCACATCACATCCATCTAAACATTCGCATTTATAATATTAGTAAGTTAAATAAAAAGCTGCTTTTCAAGTCATAAATTCGAAAAAAAAATATTATAAGAAAATGAATAAATACTATCCTATGTCCGTCTCCTGGCTCTAGCTACCTCCTCACCAATTTTCAGCCATATCGGTAAAGCCGTTCTTGAGTTATAAATAGTGTAACAAATACGACTTTCTTTTATATATAAGATTTAATAAATTCTATGTGTAAAATGTCCTTAAGGGTGATTTCTGAAAGTTCAAATTGCCTTCATATTTTGTTGAAAAACGCATATGAATAAAAAATTACAGAAAAATGTTAACAGACAAGAAAATTATCCTTCATACGATATGATGGACGTTCACCTTTACCAAATCTTACACGCGATGTGGTTCTATAAATTCTTTATCACTTTTTAAGCGTTGTTTGGTAAATATTAAATGCTAAAACGAAGTTTCTTAGATTTTTTTAGTTTATTAAAAACTGGTTCTGGCATGGCCTTAAAGTATGTAGATTTTTTTTTGCAAATAACAATTGGAATTATTATAATTTAAACGGAAAAAAATTAAACAAAAAATATTCAAATAATTATTCCTTTATATTTAGTGTGTTATAATTAAATTTAAAAAGATATTAATTTAGATAACAAACTTTATTTTTTTAAATAGATTTTTTAAAGAAAAAAATACTTCTAGCTTATTCAATTATATCTATATAATTAATTTGCACGCCGATTTTTTGTAAATTTAATTTAAACGTTCATATTTGACAAGGACATTAGTCTGTTGTTTGTATAAACTCGTGTAAGTCTACGTAAAGGTTTTTTTTTATAAAATTCGGCTAATTATTATAATTGACTAATTGTAAAAAAGGGGCATATTAAATTAGTGTCTCGTTTATGTAAATAAATAATTTGTGACTAAAATTTTTAAAACGTTATGTTAATTGTTAGTGAATATTTATATATATATTTTTTTTCAATAATCTTGAGTTTTTCGAACACATTGTAGGCAGGGCACATTGACTTTGATGTGTTTTTTTTTAATTTGCTTGGGTTTGGTTTATTCTGTCCTCTTATCAGTTTCTACGTCTAATAATGTTATTCGGCCATACCGGATATCTTGCAATTACAAAACTCTATGAATTAAGCTTAAATAAAACAAATATTCAAATTAATTAAATTTATATTCATTTTAATCAATAAAAAGGCTTATTACTAATGTCTCTTAAATTATTCCTAAGAATGCATACTTAATAATCTCACAGATGTAACCCCATTCAAATAGAATTAATTTTAAGTGTAGGTAAATTTAACTTTTAATAAAAAAAAATACGTCTTAATTTGAATGGATTAAAAAGTTGTCGTCGAAAAAGCTCAGAAATACTGCAAGCTTAATGGACGAAAACTAAGCCTTGCAGCTTATTATACTTTAAACATAATTAAATAAAAATTATAATTATTAAAATTATAAGTATTAGCTTCTTAGTCAAACATTTTTTATCATAAGGTGGCAAACGAGTGAATGGCCACCTGAAATCGCTGAATTAGCGAAGTGAACGTTGCACATAGACATACGCAATTGCATATGCGTTGCCTACCTTTAATCGACGGAGGAGAGGATGCACAGAACGAAAATAATTTCCCTTTCCGTGCATCCTCTCAACCGGAAAGTCCACTTCCACTTCCCATCCTTTCCTTATAAGAAAAAGGGGGGGAAGGGAAAGAGGACTGAATTAGGCCTCCGAGACGCACAAATTATTTTACTTGAGATATACCTATTAATGTTTTTTGAGATTAGAATTATTGTTAAGATTGAAAAAAAATGTCTATGGTATAATAAGGCTGCAAGAATGGTTTTAATTACGACAGTAAGGATTTAAGGACTTCGGCGAGACCAGGGCACTAATAGACGCGAAAGTTTGCCCAGCCTCGTCCTTTTTAACCGGCCCTGGATTATAACTATAGATTAATCTTAGCATACTTTCTTATTCTTCTACTACATTCTATAGATTACAATTATAAGATTTTCCGATGCTTAATACATAAATTATGTAAATGCCGTGTATTTGCACTATTGTTCTTGAACTTTGTCACAAATATTTTGAGCAACGAATGTTATAGGTAAATGCAAAAAAATAACAAAAAAAATCTTAAAATTACCAGCCTTTGCAAATCTATATTAATAAAATTACAAATATAATTTGCTTAACCATTTTGTTAACTCCTACTACCATTAAATTATTGGCATTGAATTATAATTGACATATCGGGAATTAGAAATCTCAGTGAACAAATACATAAAAAAAAACATTTTTTCTTCTTCAATTTTTTTGACAAATTGCTTAACCGAAACACTGAGCCACAGATAAAACAACTTTTATACGCTTTAATACTATATAGTTTTAAGTTAAAATTTATAGTCTACAGATACAAATCATAGTCCGTTCCTGTGCTACCGCTTAAATAGTCGTAGAAGTATGCGGCCATTTCGTCCAGAGCTTCAAACCTCGGGTCGGGCAGGGAATCTTCGCGGACTGACCGAGCCGACCTAGAAATGAATCTAGAACGAAATTAAAAGGGTAATTTTCAACATATAAAACTTTTTTTCTTACTACTGTATTTTTGGTCAGTGAAGAGTAATGCAGTGGAGGTTAGAGGGTTTAATTCACATATTCACATTCACGAGTCGTTTCCAATAGGTTTTTTTTTAATTTGTACCTGTATATTAGTGCTTTACATTGCTTTACATGTTAGATATTAAGTACTCGTTATCAAGGGATGCAGCAATGTATGTTTTTATTTTTAATATTAATCAATTTAAAAATATGCAATTTTACCTGAAATCACTTTCGGAGTCCAATTCATCTTCCGATGTGAAACGTTCTCGAATGTCTTTCATGATACATGCTTCTAGTTTTTTGTGCTGTAAGAGGGTTGTTAAATTTAACATAACTTTTTAAAGATAAGAAAATATAAGTAATAAGAGAAGTTGAACAATAAAGTAGGCACAGCTTGTGGACATCCGCAATGTTTGAGCATCAGCAGATTATTTTTAAATTATGTAAAAATTGAATTATGTATTGACTTTGCTAACCTTGTAGCATCTGAAGAAGAACATTGGTTTGATTAGCTCTTGAGAAAGTGGCGCCACGTCGCGTTTGATTTCTGGTACACATTGCTGGAAAAAAATATTTGTGGTTACTTTTCGTCAACACGTGTATTAATTTTGAAAATTTGTACACGTGTTGGCGTTTAAAAGTAGGTCTTAGAATATTCTCATACGAATTCTATATTAAAGGGCTTTTTTAATGCCCATAAAACGACTGCGAGGTACTTTGTTTTAAAGTTGTCTTCTTGCAAAATATACTTACCGAGAATTTCTGACAGAAGTGTAGGCCATCTTGAATGTCTGTCTTAAGTGCGGTTGGGACTGGTAAGTTGTTGATGCGCTGAGTGATCTGCTCGTAGTTTGGCTCGAGGTTGTGGTCGATGTAGCCGAGTTCTTGCATCACACAGGTCACGTTACGCAGTCTTCCAGCGCTCGGTCCGCGAGAGATTAACTCTAGACGGTCACGAATGTCCAAATCGCGAGGGGACTCGTAGGATTTCATCTGTCTTGTACCCAACTGGAACGTAACATAGAAAAGACATTAACCTAATTAGGTGATCCGATGCTCGTTTCATAAAAAAAAGTTAAATCACGACTAGTCCAGTGTAAGTACTGACTAGTTTTAAATTATGTTTCTGGTTATTGGAATAAAACAGGATGACTTACCGCCATTCTGCCCGCTCCGAAGAACGGTTGCTGGTAAAATGCTTGCTGGAACTGCTGTGGGTAGGCGTATGGATTGTATGGAAGTCCAGGTGGATAGAACATTCCAGGCGCGCTGTATGGAGTTTGGAAGAAAGAGGCTCCTGGGCTAAAGGGACGGAACTGGGGATTTTGCATCATGTAAGGCGGGATACCCGCTTGTGGGATAGCTTGTTGCGGGAAATTTGGCTGTAAGTAAACGGAATAAGGATTAAAATGTTATTCTATTTTTTCTTTATTTAGATTAAATTTAATTTTATAAAATCATGAAATATTTCAAGGCATCTCTCGTCGCCTCTTTAGCTCAGTGGTAGAGCACTGGTCTCGTAAACCAGGGGTCGTGAGTTCAATCCTCACAGGAGGCATCGTCTTTTTTGTTCATTTAAAAAAGTGCATTTTTTTATTTTTCGTAGGAGTATTGAATAATTACGTACTGTCAATGGTCTGAATGATAGAACTCCTGCCATTGGTGTTGGTTTTTGTGGTTTTGTGTCAAGATTTGGCAAATCATTTTCTTGATTCAGAGAAGCGCCATCTGTTGGCTTAGTGATGGTTTGCGTACTCGGATCCATTGAGAAACCGGGCGGTAACTTCCCGAGTAATACAGACGACATTTGGGACGGATTCGAGGACTCCTCGAAAGATGGCGGTAAAGAGCATTTTGCATACGCGTCTTTCATTTCTTCTCTAATTTGTTTTACAACTTCAGGACCAAAACAGCTTTCATAGATCTGAAATTAATAATATTTCAAATGTTAAAATCAATAATATTGTATTGTAAAATTTATTACGACAAAAGTGATAATCTCAATTTAGTTAACTGTTCAGTTTTGTTGTTAAATGATTTTTTTTAATTATAATCAAATTAGGTATTTAAGCTGATTTAGTAATTCGCTAAATATCATAAGCAGTCGTGGCCGAGCGGTTAAGGCGTCTGACTAGAAATCAGATTCCCTCTGGGAGCGTAGGTTCGAATCCTACCGACTGCGAATGTTATTTTTGTTTTTTTAACCTTTTTTTTCTTTTTACCTTCATCATGGCGTATTTTTTGATGAATTTGTCATCACTGCTGGCGAGCGCTTGTGCGGACACACAGAACAGGCAAATTGTGAATATTGTCTTCCGCAACATTTTGGATCTAAAAATAAAATAAATGATTAAATTATCCTTTATTTATCATTTCTATTTATTATTTTTACGAAAGGATATTTCTTAATTTTTCTTCATGTCTCAAAAGTATCTTTTAGCCATTACACAATTTAAACTAAATACACACGGAATCTTTTTGTTACAAATTTTCTACAAACTTAAAGTGATAAAAATCAAATTAAAAACATATATGAACCAATTTACTTGAAACATGATCTGTAGTTTACTTAATTACACATTTAGGGCAAAATATAAATCGTTTAATAATTTACAGCGTTACAAAATTACATACTCTTCAAGCAAATCGACTATCTTTATGGAAAATTGTACATCTAAAAATAGGATATCAACCTGTCTTATATTATAAGTTGTAGAACCTTAACATAACACGTTTTATCTAGTATCTAGTAATAGGGATGTGTATAAGGTCTAGTTATATGAAGGGTTTTTTTATTTTTTATATAGTTAGTTTTTATATAGTTATATACATAGCTTTATAAATAGCTAATATGTCGTGAAAAACAGAATAATTACAGTGATGTACTTTTTTATTCATAACTAGCTGTCACCCGCGACTCTTTATTAAAAAAAAACTTAATCAGTTCCAGGCAATTATTCGAATTTTTCTCACCTTTTAAACCTTCCCTGGACCTCCACAAACATTTCAAGGTAAGATAATTCCGTTCAGTAGTTCTCGAGTCTTAGCGAGACTAACGAATAGCAATTGATTTTTATATCGATATATAGATAGATTAATTTTCCAACATCCTGTATTATTTATTCGGCGACTACATTCGCGAAGCTTCTAACTAGTTATTAAAGATTGGAAGAATATCTGTGCATTATTAATGCATTTAGATCAGTGGAACAATAATTGTCTCGCGTATCAAACCACAATAAGCCCGCGGAACACCGTTATGTGTTTACGCATAAGATATTCCTAGTATAATATTACCGGAGTTAGGGTTGCCATACACGGACTGTTATAAGCAGATAAAGTACACGATCATTACACGAACCGCAGAAAACAGTCGCCGCTAATAACAAAACTGGTTTTGGATATCTCAAAGCTTTATCGGTAGACTTCATGTAATCCGTGTATAGCAACCTTTAGTATCGCGGTCCAATGTGCCAGATCTGGCGACCAGTTATAATAGCTTGCTTTATTGTTTTTGTAGTATCATAATTATTGTCTATGGTTGCCTTAAGTTTTACATGCTTATAAGCAAATTATAGTGTACACTATGTTTGTATGTAAATTAGGTTAATTAAAATAGCATCGGATAGGTTTACTTTGTAACCAATTAAAAAAATAAGGGTCTTAGTTGATTTTTTATGCTTTTTAATACGATTTACACAAACAACCACATCATTATTTTTCATGTGAGAACTGTCGTGTGCATTATCTGTCTTCTTACTGATTTTTAGTCTGTTATTAACGGCCATAAAGTAAATTCTATGTAAAGGTAAGTAACAAGCCGTTAATATTTAATTATCTGTGAATGTTACTTCATTTTCAATAGAAACGGTAGGCGTAGAACTGTACAGCTTTATTAAAAGCTAAATGGACTTTATCTACTTAATAGTATCATATAAAACCGTTATGTATATTCATATATTTACTGGAGCTACTAGCTGTCGTTCGCGACTTCTTCTGCGTGGAATGAAAAAATTTAATAAAACCTTCCCTAGACCTCCACGAACATTTCAAGATAAGATAAATCCGTTCAGCCGTTCTCAAGTTTTAGCGAGACTAATAATGTGTTTCAAAACATTCTGTCATCCCGCTCATATCGAAGGAATAAAAGAGGGATAACAATATGTTTAATACAAGTGTTTGGTCAGTGAAATCTTACAGTTATAATGTAACTCAGCTAATTTTTCAAGAGAGATATTTCTTTTTGGTTTTTAATATGGAACGTGTTTTTTATTACGCATTAATTTAAAACACCGTTCTGAAAGTATTTTTATAACAAGTTTACTGAGTACGAGGTTCTGTAGAAAATGTTTATGATGTAAAGAAAGTTATTGAGATATAACTATCCTAAAAATCAATAAATTTGTAAATCTTTAACGCAATTTACGTATGTAAAATGATATAAATGTATATGTGTAATAAAAAGTGCAAATGGATGCAACTTAATTTATACTATCAAGTTGATAACATTTATTTACAATATTTAATCAGAACAAATCTTTTCATCTACTACTAAAACTGTCGATAATAAATTTAATTGTTTGTAAATTTCACCTAATAAAAAAAGTTCTAAACATATTTAGATGTGATAACAATATAGACATTAGATAAACACTTATTAATATTACAGTATTATGTACAAAGTACAGAGTTTTTAGTCCATATCACTCCACGAGTAGTTATCGCTAAGTGTAGATAACGCAACATTTTTTTTTAAAATATTATCTATGTATCAAATATGGCCGGTAATTCTTGTATCATTGGTTGGAATAGCGTTTACATGTTATTAAAAATATCTTTGTTAAAGATTTTAAACGATATCGCGTCGTTTTCCTTATAAACATTATCGTTCGCTTCTTGTCGTGAGATGGCGCTGCATCGGGGTCATTGCCCGCACGCGGCCTTGCTTTGCGCTTGCGTCTACTGACAACTTGCGTAATGAGCTTTGCCGCCAAGTTGCATCGGTTTGTTTTTAAAGCTTCCAGATGCCATTGAAAGCATCCATAATAAGTGCACTTTTTTATTTATTTCGTAGAATATTTGTGATCAAATCAATGATGAAATCTTAATTACATTTATGTTGTTTTAAATTAAATTTATTTAATTAACAACTGATAAAAAACTGAACTTTAAACTGACAAGTATAATGTAATTTTATGCAAATTTACTCTTGTTATAATCATAGACAACCCAAATATGCAAGCTTAAGTTATTAAACTTTAGGCAATTATTAGATTTTCCCGATGACTAGCCATTTGAAATGCGCAGAATTTTTTCTATGAGGCTTACGCTACATACGCTTCGCAAATTGAACTTTTTTGTGATGTTAAAATCGTCTTGGGTTTTTTTAATCATCATTTTTATAAACGATATACTTAGCTAGCATCGTCGCCTCAATTATCGAAAGATAAGTAATAAGCCCTTACAGAAAATTCTTCTGGCTTCTGAACTATCCTTCGTCTGATTAATGTTACCCATTTTTGTCTTTATTACTGAGCAACTTTGTCTATCTTACTAATATTATAAATGCGAATGTTTGCATGTATGGATGTTTGTTAAAAGGTATCTGCAGAACGGTCTCATGAATATCACTAAAATTTGGCATAGATGTAGAACATAGCCTGAAAGAGCACACGGACGGAGTCGCGGGCAGCTAGTTTGTAATATAAAAAAGCCAGAAATGTCGGGTCAATGCCAGGACGTTCTAAAGTTCCGTTTTCTCTTAAAACTTGAAGTGGTATATCCGTTCGGACTAACACTTTAAAGCTAGTTACAGCGTAACAATGTAACGGTCGATGTAATTCGATGGCAAAGCGCGCTCTTCTCACCTACCAACACGTACACGTCAAAACACAAACGCCTCTCGTTATTTTATTTTGCCAGTGAACTATACGTAATTATGAGCTATGTTTCTAATATTATATATAATAAAAATGTGAATGTTTAGACGGATGGATGTTCGTTTTAAGGTATCTCTGAAACGGCCCAACAGATCTCTCAGTAAATTTAACATAGATGGGGAACATAGTCTGGAAGAACACATAGGTTACTTATTCAGTTTTTTTTTAATTCCGCGCGGACGGAGTCGCCGGCAATAGAAAGTTGTTGAATACATTATATTGTTACTGAAAGAAGAAATAATGTTTTTCTGCCATCAGAACTTCCCTTCAGTTGAAGGTAGAATGCATAAAGATTTGTTACAATCGCCATCGTATCGTCATAGATAAAATGTGTAATTAAATTTGTGCAGCGCCCTTATCGGGCGTGAAGTACACCATAAATCTCATACTAATTTTCATATAATTGACAATGACGATAAGATGGCGATTCATAAATTGTGATTCATAAACATTCGTGCTAGCCCACTCTAGCGTAGTGCCAATTACCTTACAAGTATTGACTTTCTCCTATAATAAATCTTATAAATTAAGTTCTTATTGGATAATAAACTAGGCTGCTTCCTTATTACATTGACATAATTTATATGATAAACGAGATATTTGCAAGAAAGTACTGATGTAGACAGGACGGCGTGGAGGCAGCTGGTCGACACAGCCGTTAAAGCGTATCAAGAGAAGCACGACCTTCAGTAATGAAGAATACGAAGAAGAACAGATGTATCAAAGAGTACGTAAGTTCTGTACTACCTATGCTGTTGAAAAACTACGATCAAATTATTTTTATTTTTCGTTTCTCATTATTCTAATTCAGTTAAAACCAGCCAGTCATTACAATAATTATATTTGTACGTTTGAAGTTTAAAACAATTAAACCTTTTTTCTCTTACTCTATGGTGTACGCAACGTTTGATGTAACGGTATTCCATCACAACATAGCCAGAGTCGGATTTGTATCGGTTTAATTAGACGTTAGCTAAAAAACCTCATGATAATTGCGGACTCACTCTTCCGGTCGCTCCGGGACCTGTTTGAAGCGAGAATTTTTTATCTGTATTCAATGAAGTCACTCCAATAAGTTGTTATCCAACTTTATGCGATACAAAAAAATATATATACTATAAATAATACAAAAGCATTTTTAAATATAGTAAAATGTATATCTTATTATATTGATCTAGATTTAATGAAGTATATTTCTTTTCATTAGTAAATTATGCCACATTTGATGCGTTGGTCTTTCTTATGCAAACTTCATTCATAGCTTGAAGCATCTCACTGTAATTGAATAAATTACATGAATATGTAACTGGATGTTCACGCTTGGCGGCTGTCAAAGGGTTATTGAACTCTTTAATTTTTCGTAGTGTTATTTCGAGCATTTCATGGATCATATCGTGGTTTTAATTTATCGGTTATAGAAACAAATGAATATATACATAAGTAAATGGATACCTTTTAATAATATATATATGCACTGTAAAGAGGAAAGAATATGTCTTTGAATTTGTATCATTAACCCATTTTTGCCTGTCATACATTCATTATCATACGTCAAATTTAATTTATAATTGGTATAAGTTTGGTATTTCATCGATCTTTTCGTATAACTTAACTAAATACACTAACACGTGGATCTCCTAGTTAATCTGAGCCTTCAAGCAATATGTCACCTAATATCTTCAAATTCTCATGCCATATATTTCGCCTAGAATGACAGCTTGTAAATATCCCATACCTAACCCGTGTAACACAATACATTGAACTTACGACTAACGATTATTAGACTTTAACACGCGATACGTAAATCAGATAATGTTAATGAATTATCAACTCTATACCTAACATATAAGAATCTATTTCGTTCAATAATACCTTTCCATGGTCTGACAATATCTGAGTTATCCTTAAAATCATATTTTAGTTAACCTTATCTCGTATCTTTATTTAATTTAAATATAATTCAATGAGGTAACGTCGTATAAATCATGTTGGTACAACAAACGTTTCTTTTTAAATTTCAAGAAAAAAGCAGCAGCAAAAGAGAAAAATCCCTAATGGGGCAGTGTTACCAGGATAAAATTTTATTCGAACTTGTTAAACTTTAGTAAATCCAAACTGTACTATTCAATCAATATCTTTCTTCTCATTATCAGGTAAATGCGGGGTCCCGTTTTGTTTGTCCTGAACTGCTTTTTTTGCATAACATGTAAGGGAAAATCTCATGCTGCTCTGACCTAGTCTATCCGCATGGGAGGTCTACCTGGTCTCTTGGTGCCTTCCATTTTTTCTGCACCAATATGTCCTAGAATGGACGCATCATCATGGCGGCTACATAGACAATATATATAATATAGATATGATAAAAGTTAGATTCACCATTAGCTCACTGTACGTCTGCGCTGAGGGGCACCGAACCTACCCTAAGCCTAAGCTAACTTTGGCCTAAGTGATTAGGCCAAAGTTAGGTTAATATAACTTAATCGGGATCGAATATTTCCACCGATGTATTAATAACCTATATAATAATAAATTCACTTTTAATTTGATGATCAATAAATTTTACCGTCTGAGAAAAGAACAATCTTCAACAGACTTCAGTTCTAAACGTGTGTGGTCTTTCAAAACTTTTTTTTTACCACATATGGTGAAAATTGTGCGTCCATTCCCATAACCAGTTTAGTTTAACAGTGGTAGAGCCCGCTTTAACATCTTCGCACGAATCGGCCCGGCTCGCCCGGTGAAATACCACGACCACACAGAAGACAGGCGTGAAGTGGAACCAATTCCGCGCTTCGTCTGATGAGTGTGCGTCCCGGAGGCCTTATTTAGTCCTCTTTCCCTTCCCACCCTTTTTCTTAGAAGGAAAGGATGGGAAGTGGAAGTGGACTTTCCGGATGAGAGGATGCTTGGGAAGGGAAAATATTTTCTTTCTATGCATCCTCTCCTCCGACGATTAAAGGTAGGCAACGCCACATACGCGATTGCGTATGTCTATGGGCAACGGTCACTTCGCCATTTCAGCGATTTCGGGTGGCCGATTGCTCGTCTGCCACCTTTTGATATAAAAAAAAACCATTGGCCGCATACAGTGTAAAGTACCATGAAGTAATCAAAATGTAATTTCTTTACGATAATTTTAGACGACAATTCACTTTATCATCTCCATCCATCACGTTTAAGATCTTTTACGTAAAAAAATCTATTACACTCAAACCTAAACGAATGTTGATAAAAATCACTTTAGTTAAAAAAGAACATCAAATCCGTTATGTATACATATAAAAAATTGGCTTGTGCAAATAAAAATCACCGTTCATTCTTGGTGCGGAATACAAAAACAATTTCGGCGCAAATCGTGATGGTTCGAAAAGGCAAATAAAATCGAATTCTTCAAAAACTTAAATTTGTCGCGTGACCGTGGAGAAGATGGAATAGTAAATAAAAATTTAAAAAAGTCTAATGTCGTTTTATCTATTGTGGTACTTTTTGGTATCGTAATCATCAAGAAAAACATACGTAAAGTTATTTTGATGAAGTTTCTTCAGAGATATTTGTCATAATTATTTAACTCGCCGTTTACCAAATTATTACTGGCTGGCAACATAACTTACGCAGCAATGTTAATTTAAACCTCCTTTAATAATGTACTGTTAATTAAAATAAAAAAAATATATTATCATTATATTAAAATATACTTCTGTATGTATGTTGTTTTACAGTTAGGAACAAAGGTACTGCCCGGCATTGGCATAAATAAACGAAAGTTGAAATGAGCAGAACTGCAGACAATATTCTATTGTATATGACTCAAAAAGTTAGTCCTGTTTGGAGTACTGCTCTGAGTCAGCGAACAAGGCAATCTTACAAATATTATAAATGAGAATGTTTGTTTGAAGGTATCTCCAGAACGGCTGAATAGATACGGCTGTAATTTGGCATTGATGTAGAACATAAACTGAAAGGACACACTATTAATTATTTTTTACTTTTGCGCGGACGGATTTGCGGGCGACAGCTAGTAGTTATATAAGTTAAATTGTTAGTACTTAGTAGAATTTAAAATTGACAATTAGATGCGTACAAACTATAAAATAAACATTCACGTAATAAACATTTGAACCTATGTTTAAATATTTTGTTGCAAAAGTTGCAGATATGGACAAAAGCTGGATGCCTACCAAAGTTTCAAACAAGCTTTAAAAATAAAGCTTGGTATAAAAATTGCTGTGAAAATTAACTACGAAATTTAAATATAGAGGCGTAATATTTATCTATTGGTAAACGATAAACAAGTTTATAGGGTATTGTTGTACACGATTTCTTCACTAATTTAACTTTGAAACACCAATCATTATAAACACGATAAACAATAACACATATTTTAGTATGAAGTAGAGTTAAAACAATCCTTTGGTTGTAAACAAAAAGCTCAACCGATATAATCATTTTAGATATTTTATTTTTCATTATATTTATTCTAATACGGTAATTAAACAATTTTTTAAAAGTAAAATGTAAAGTAAATTTTCATTTATTTTTCATCGCAAAAACCTTATCACAAAGTTACACTTTCCAAAATGATATAATATGACGATATCTGTCGTAAACAATTAAATACACGTTTGATATAAACTCACCGTGAGGATCCAAAGACAAGATGCGCGGGAGCTGAACTATGCAGTGGAGCAATGACTCGTTCCGAACTTGACCTTGCGCGAACTAACCGGCGATTGCACGCCAAACAGCCGCCCGACACGTTTTATAGTGGCCAGCCAGAAGCCCGTGACCATACGGCTCTCTGGCTTGGTCAACAATATCATAAGAAAAGACTTAAGACTTCGTTTGGTTAGTGAGTTTTATTTGGTAGAGATTGCAGACTTACGTCTGGTTCTTAGAGTAGAGACTGGAGATTTCAACTCATACTTAAAGTCTCGGCTTATGTAATAGTTAAAATATGAATCTAAGAAAATGTCTGTTAAACAATACGTTGGCCACTGTTACCGACCCTGTGTTCAAGATGTTGACCATCCAGATAAAATTGACCCTCTCCGTCTTGAGACAACTCAACAAATATGAAAAAAACGAGCAAGCTGCGTGTATCTCACTTAACTGGTTATTTTGTTATAGCACATCAGTTATGTGGTCATTTTTGTTCTTGTATGTCTATAAGATGGATTATGCTTGTGGTGAGCTTAAATTATATATTATATGTTAGTGCTTATAAGATTGGACAATAATATCCATGGTCATAGTATCACTAGTGAGCAACATAGCGATCGTAAAAAATGTCATTATCCACCATTCTTAATGTTCAAGGAGAACTTTTGTTATATTTGTTTACTAAAAAATATTGGATTTTTACGGAAAAGTGTTTTAATAAACAACTTTTATTTATAATAAGCAATTACATCTTCATAAGTTTTTTCTTCCTTTTTTGGTTATTAACACTTATAGTAAGATTGATAAATCGTTAAGAGATCAATTATTCAAAACTAATAATGCATAAAAATCAAGAAGCCCAGACTATATTTACTTGGAATCAAACGATTGAGATATCATATTGGAAAATCAGGGTTACGAAAAAAAAAAATTTTTTTTTGTGACTGAGTAGTCACTGTTTGCCTTAAAGAGGCATTTACAGCTTCACCGGGCTTGAGGTGGCCGAGCGCAGATGGCGCTTAGCCTGAACCTCGTTTAGGAGTAACAAGACTCGAGGGCTCCCTCAGGAGCCACGACTCAGGCTGTTAATACGAAAAAAAATGCAAAAATTGAATATAAAATACCTTCAGGATAACTTAAGGCTACAACAGTTAGACGACATAATAAACATTGTCTCTTTCTCTACGACATAAAACGACAAAAGGGAAAACATTCTCCCTCTCTCTTTCTCTCTCTCTCTCTCTCTCTATCTGTATTTAACGAAGAACGTGGTGTATTTACTTAGTTTGTGTTTTTCATCCATCAAAAAGCATAGTCGCCTAAATCATTGATGTCACCATTTCCTAATGGTCACGTAAACTAGGTTTAGACAATTTATATCTCTGACCAATGCATCAGGGTTATACTGTCGTGAGACTGTATGTATTATATTTGTTTTATGATACGTTGAATCAAGTCATTAAGGTCTTCGATCTCATGGCTTTTGGCTTTCTATGATGCAATAAAAATACAATACTTAAAAAACAAAACTGCACCTAATTGTATTCACATTCCTTCAATGTTTTCGTTCATTTTTATTCATTGTAGAGTTGTATGTAAGAAGGATTTATTTATTTCACTTAAGGATGTCTCTTGCCATGTCTATATCTCATCGAAAGAAATGTAAATTATGCAACGCATTACTTTGAAGTTCTTTTTATGGTACATTAATTGGAACAACATTAAAAAGATTTGATCGATAGTAAATACGGTTTAATAAAATAAAAACTTGTTTTAAAATCAAGGTCAATATTTAATTTTACTACCACCGTTATAATGACGGAAGTAACTTTCGTTGACCGGCAGTTGGTCTCCGTTTTTAGAGTTATAGGTACCCGGGTTTGAAACTCGATTAAATATTTACTAATTATAATAGCTTATAATCTATCGTAATATGTATATGATATCGTACGGTTGAGTTTAAGATACGAAAATGAATATATTTAAAAATATGACATTTTATTTTTTATTAGAGGAAGTTTGAAAGTAGCGCCAGTGATGGAGAAATTGAGGAGAGAAAGATTAGCGTGGTTTGGACATGTTGTGCGGAGGAATGATTATGATATAAGCAAAAAAGTAATGAGATTGAATGTGGATGGCTACAAAGGCAGAGGAAGACCAAAAAGTATGGAATGACTGTGTGAAACAGGATATGCGAAGGAAGGGGGTAGATTCGGATATGACGGCTGATAGAGATGTACGGAGGAGTAGTACATACTGTGCCGACCCTCGATAGGGATTAGGGCAGGTTGATGCTGAAGATTTATTAATAATAGTATAGAATAGTTTATTTGGGATTACGTTAAAAATATTTACTTTAAAGTCGTCTAGTAACAAAATTAAATGCAGGTATTGTCTGTTCTGTTTGTTGTTTATGGCTCTCCCTCATCGGATTGGGCCAATGTCAAGTGTTTATGGTTCTGTTTAAAATTAGGTACTGTCTAAAGCATTTATAATTTTCTGATGCTCACTGAATTTTCGGGACCTTGTATTTGACTTAAAATCTTAAATAAAATATTGTAAAATTCAATATTTGACGAACAATTTCCAGTGATTACGATGAAAGTTTTCTACATTAACATTTATAATATGGCACAAAGCTTCAGAAGATACGCTTAAGCTATGACTAATTTACTCCTGAATACGCCTGTAAAATAAACGATATGTTAATGATTATGCCGAGGGGTAATATGTCTTGTTAACATATCTTAACTTACTAAAGGACATTTTTAATTGAATTATTCAAACTTTTGTGAGACATTAAAATAAATGTATATAAAAACGGCTAAACACTCACGTATATTCATCCGGTGGCGGTACCGACTAGTTTCGAGCCCATCGGGGACCCTTCATCAGGATGAGTGGTACTGGTATTATTTCGCGGACGCGGTCCGTCGCTCACTGGCCGCGAATCGTTGTTAGCCCTGATGAAGGGCCCCCGATGGGCTCGAAACTAGTCGGTGCCGCCACCGGACGAATATACGTGAGTGTTTAGCCGCTTTTATATCAGTTTTGACATTTTTAATGACAAAGAATCTGATATTCAAACCTTTCTGGCCTTAAAAGTGATCATTCATATTTAAATTATTTATTCGCTACTAAGTCAATTTAGCGTAGGAAAAAGGCACAAAGTTTTATTGTATTTAACTAGTTTTACATATAAAATCATCGGAGAAAGATATAATAAAACTATCTCAATGAAAGCAATAATAATATTAAATGTCATGTCATAAAAATCAATATAAAATTCAAAATAGCATACTATTTGTTTCCCTAACCCTTTTTCTTTAGCAATAAACTTTTGAGGCAAATCATCAATTGTTTATAGATAACTAATATTCCAGCCTTCACATAAACTTTAGAGGTCAAGTAAGGGTCAACTCGTATGCAAAGATACACAATAGCGATAATTCACCGCGGTGGGAAAAGAGAAGTTCCCATTCGTGTATTAGCAATATAATTATTTGCGGGTAAGAGAAACATCATTACTTAAACTGTTATAGCAGGAAAGTGTTTAGTATTATAAGTACTTGATATATATTAAAATAATTTAAAATTATAACGTTGTATATATTGTTAGTAAAGGTAGATGTTGTATTAAAAGCGATTAGGGGAATTACTTTTAGTATTATTTATGAATATAAGTGAAGTAGAATAAATGTCATCACCATCGTCAGCTAATTAAAGGTCCCCGCTGAGAGGCTCGGAGCCTACCATAAGTTAGGGGCGACTAGGCCATAGTCAACCATACAAACCAGTGGGGTTGACTTTACACATGTCTTTGAATTTCTTCTCAGTCCTACAAATGTACATAGGTAAAACAAAAATCAAAAAACACATTGGCACTTGGCGGAATTCGAACCCATGATCTACAGATTGCATGTTAAGTGCTATTTCTAGAGCCACCGTCGCTCTAGGTATACGTGGCGACGAGATAGGTGTCCAATCCAAATTAGGCTATGATCTTTTATTTCCACGTAATACACAAAATATAAATGGTGAAGTTCTGCTCTCTGACATCCAGTTTAAGATCTTTCAATACAAGTTCTTCGATTCCCTACCAACTGACAACTATAAACTACTTCTTAGTAATAACACGATTGGTAATGCGTAACTTTACAACAGTCACAATCAGGTTGTATAGAACTAGCTCCTGACTGATTACAAATAAAAATCTAACAACATTAGCGCTTATCATAACTGAATACGGAATATATTTCCGCGACAAATTGAATTCATCCTGTTAATAGACGAATAAAGACGGGGCAATGGAAAATTTATTGATGCGGTAAGAAGCAATGGTAGTCTATGAGGTGGATGCGCGATCTACACAATTCCTAGATTCTATCCACAATAATAGATATTAAATATTATTATCTGTTGCCTGCTAGTATTCAAATACTAACTATAATACATGGAACACGGATATACATAATTTATTAAGAGCGTCGGTGGCTCAGGGGTCAAGCACTTGACTTGTAATCTGCAGGTCCTGGGTTCGAATCCCGCCATGTACCAATGTGTTTTTCGATTTCCGATTTACATATGTACATTTATCCGACGTTCTTACGGTGAAGGAAACCATCGTGATGCAACCTGCACATATCTGAGAAGAAATTCAAAGATATGTGTGAAGTCAACCAACCCGCACTGGGCCAGCGTGGTTGACTATGGCCTAATCACCCTTACATTAGGGTAGGCTCCGAGCCCCTCGGTGGGGACGTATAGTGAGCTGATGATGATGATGATGATTAAACGCATTGGTCAGCACTGTGGTACTAAACGAGGTCTAGGTGGACTAAGTTGACAGAAAAGCGAAGTGTACTACAGCGGAAATTAAATTTAAGGGTTAACATGTTAAAGAATAAAAATCTTAGAGTTTCACCGTACCCTGTACTGTAAGGGGTATAGAAGAAAAATGTTTTTTTATCTGTGGCAAAGGCATAGATAATACTCGATTAGACAGCCGTCACAACTAGAAAAGAACTGGTACCTAATGTTATAATCGTGCAGGCTTTATTGAGTTAAAATTAGATGTCTTGGACCCTGATTGAACCTGTTTCACTATTCTTCACACCATGATAACTTAATTAGATTTAATTCTAAGAAACTGTACGATAGGATTACGTTTCTGTGTTATTATTACTAATACAGCAGAGACCCATTGCCTTGCAATTTTATGTCGGAGAAGAGCGCGCAAATCTATTCGATATTCAATTGTTTTCTCACATTCACATTAACCCGCGAAAAATATTAAGTAAAGACTCCTTATGCTTGCTTTTAATTATTATTCTAACAATTTATTTCTATTTCAATTTTACTAGTATTATAAATGCGAATGTTTCAACGGATAAAAGTTTGTTAGAACGTATCTCCAGAACGGCTCCATGGATCTCGCTGTAATACTTCATAGATGTAGAACATAGCCTTGAAGAAAACAAAGACTATTTATTAAGTTTTTTTTTAATTCCTTGCGGACGGAGTGCGGGCCACAGCTACTTTTCTATAATATAAGAAAATGTAGGTTGTTTTGTGACGTAAAAAAAAGTTAATTGTGCATCATTGCTTACCAACAAATTGGATAGACATAGCAGTACACGCAAAGCTATAAGAAAGCTATAAGCGATCCCCGCACGATGCATTACAGTTACATTCTTAACGCAGCTATGACAGTGTTTACGTCTTTACAATTATGATTATCGATAACTGTAGGCCTCGACATACAACATACAGCTCCATAATGATGTCAGAGATTATAGTATTACGTTAACTATATTATTATAAGTGATTCTTGGTATATTAAACTAATAAATAAAGGAAATCTCCTTCATTATAGCAAGTTATTGACTTCAACGGTAAATACGTTTAAGATTCGATTTCATTTGACAGGAAATCGTTTTTGTAAATAATTTAGTAATGTATTCAATTCTGTTTAATATTGGTAAAGTACTGCAACAGCATAATAAAAAAAAACATGCGTAATATAAATTTTTATATTTAGAATATGTCGTATTTAAATTAGCATTGAGCTTATTCGTATCCTTATTGATATTATAATTTGTTATCTAATCGTACGCCATGGAGCAATAAAATTTTATGCAAGTAATACAAAACAAGCTAAAACAAGTTAAGTGATCGTCTATGATTCTTTTATTTTTATTTGTATCATATAATTTCATTTTTCTAGATAATAATTTGATTATGGAATAGTAGGGAGAGATTATAAAATTCTACATATTTTTTATGGTCCTCATCTGATGTCCATGGTAGCTTAACGATATGGTTATCTTTCTTGATTCTTTTATTTAAATATGTACGCATACTGTGTGTCCGAATCATACATATAGCGCGGACCGACAGTCATCTTGGATGGCGATTAGTTTGCTGGCAACCAAGCTTGCAAGGCAGACAGATGAATGAAAAATTAATATTAATTAATTAAGAATAAAATCATTATTTTCAAAGCGAGCGAAGCAACGCTGCAAACAAGTGCTTCTTTTTATAAAAATAGATTTTTTGTGGAATAATTAAGTATTGACAGACTTTAAAATGGGGCGTAAAACAGTTAGGGCAACATCATTGTCACCGCCAATGTCACTGTCATGTTAGTCGGGTTATATTTTTGTTTACGACCTTTGAGGTTATAAAAGTGTTTTTAATCATTAAACACATTATTAAAGCTGTTTTTAAATTGAACTTAAAAAAGTTTAATACTGATTTTGTTAAGTCAGTAAAATGTCTAGCAAACCAAGTTCTAAACGAACAATATATGTTGGCGGTTTAGCGGAAGAGGTTGATGAAAAAGTTTTAAATGCGGCTTTCGTTCCTTTTGGAGACTTAGTCGATGTACAAATACCCCTAGATTACGAGACGGAGAAGCACAGAGGTTTTGCCTTCGTTGAATTTGAAAATGCCGAAGATGCTGCAGCAGCTATAGATAACATGGTATGGTACATTTTTAGTAACAAAGTTTACGTTATCTTTTGACTTTTAAGGCAAAAAACGAGGTAAAAAGCCAATATGAAATTTAAAAGTATTGACTTCAGTAACAGGATAATATACATCTTAATAATTTCAACGACTGGATTCATCAAATTATTCATACCTTTGTGAGACATTATAATAAACTTATATTAAAATGGTTAAACACTCACGTATTTTCGTTCGGTGGTGGCACCAACTAGTTTCGAGCCCATCGGGGGCCCTTCATCAGGGTGACTGGATTGATATTGTTCCGAAAAATGACATTTTCTCAAAATCATAATGTAAAATACAATTTTTATACAATATGGACTATCTCACTTTCCAGAATGACTCAGAATTGTTTGGTCGAACAATAAGAGTTAATGTAGCTGCCCCGCAAAGGATAAAGGAGGGTTCCACCAGGCCGGTGTGGTCTGAGGATAGCTGGCTGCAGAAGCATGCTGGTGAAACACTGACTATCAACAAGGAGGGAGAAGAGGAGACTACTAAGGATAAAACAGAAGTGTCAGATGTAAGTAGATTTATTACTAATTCTTAAAGTTCACTTCAACTTAAAGTAGTTGACACATGACTATATCATCTTTTACATTAAGTTAAATTATTAGTAACTTTAGTAAGAAAACTTGTTCTGCTAGAACTGTAAAGTTACAGTTGACATTATTTTGACTATGGCATTAAAATGCAATAGATGTGTTTAATAAATTTTGTATTTAAATCCTAATCATTTGGAAAATTCTCTTTCAGTCAATTCCAGCAAAGCCTACAGAGAAACGCAACCCACAAGTCTACTTTGATGTGTGCATCGGAAAGCAGGAGCTCGGAAGAATAATAATGATGCTTCGAGCAGACATAGTGCCCAAGACTGCAGAGAATTTCAGAGCATTATGTACACATGAAAAAGGCTTTGGTTATCAAGGAAGTAGCTTTCATAGAATCATACCTGATTTTGTATCCTTTTTTAATTATAAAATACTAGCTGTCGTCCGCAACTCCGTCTGCGCAGAATTAAAAAAGTAATAATTAGTTGCCAAATTTCATCCAATTCTGTTCAGCTGTTCTGGTGATACCTTCAAACAAGCATTCATCCATTGAAACATTCCCATTTATAATATTAGTAGTTACATTTACTAGTTTGTTAATTCAAAAAGTCTTATTTTGTCTATTTTAAATTTATATCTAAGTTCAAGTAATTTGTTACTTTATCAATTAATTTAAACTGGTATAATCAGCCCAAAATTTACATTACTTTTGGGTTACTATTAATAGTTAAAATATCACAAATGTCATTAAAATCATGCATTTTAATAAAAAAATAATTTAATTTCCTTAACGAAACAAAGATGTGTCAAGGAGGTGACTTTACAAATAATAATGGAACAGGAGGTAAATCAATATACGGTCGCAAGTTTGAAGATGAAAACTTTACGCTAAAGCATACAGGACCTGGTATATTGAGTATGGCAAATTCAGGACCTAATACAAACGGATCACAATTCTTCTTATGCACTGCCAAGTAAGTACAACAAGGTTTCCTCTGTAAAATATAGTTGTCTCTTACATTCTCTTTGAAAAAAACAGAGATGAATATATGTTTGAATTTAATTGTGCTGTATTATATAATTTAAGAAAAATGAACAAATTATTTTTTTTTCACAGAAAATATTTACTACATTAAAATAATGTCTATGAAATTAGCTAGTTGTCGCCCCCGACTTCGTCCTTGCAGAATTAAATAAAAATTAATTAGCCTATGTGTTCTTCCAGACTATGTTCTACATCTATGCTAAATTTCAGCGAGATCTATGGAATTCTTCTGGAGATATATTCTATATTAATAATATTAGAAACATTAACTTTTTTAATTTCCAGGACGGATTGGTTGGATAACAAACATGTGGTTTTCGGCCACGTGATATCTGGCTTAGATGTTCTCAAGAAGATGGAAAGGTACGGCAGCAAGAGCGGCACAGTCTCAGCCAAAGTCACAATCAGCAATTGTGGAGAATTACAATGATTTTTAATTTTCACTTTGTTTTATTTCTTAATAGCTTTTGCCCAAAACTTCTGCCCAGAATAAAAAAAAAGTTAAAAGTCCCATGTGTTAGTTGTTTATCTGTACCAAATTTCAATAAGATGTGGATCAAAGCCTATGTGTTCTGGACTGTGTTTTATATCTATACCGACTTTTATCTCACGCTTTCGGAGGTCTATGACATTATTTAAAGTTCGGGTTTTATTTGGATGCTTGAGTCTGCAACAGTGGTAGAGTTCAGCTCATCTAATACGTCAGTATATTTCTATGACTAATCAGAAATCGGGAAGTACTTTTAAATCTTAATTTATCACTTTCATGGGCTTTCTTATCATTACCTACGACGACAAAAGACGAACTAACAAAAGAGAAGTCATTCGTCAAATTGCCTTTTAGATTCGGATTCGCAACAATAGATCTGATGTCCAATTAGGACGAATACGTTGAAAGAATATTTTTCGTAGCACATTTATAGGTTTCTTCTGGCAATTGGCTTTTGATATAGCTATGTGAATCTGGATTGTATATTAAAAATAATACTATGAGTAAATTGTATAAAGTAATGAGATTGAATGAGGATGGCGTCAAAGATAGGTGTCGTGTATGCATAAACGTAGTGTTGTTTGTCTCGAGCGTACACGCCATAAGTACATGTCGGAGAGGGGATGTCAGTCGATGTCAGACCTTTGGACCGGCAACATGTGTCGGTACATGAACGGTCAAATATTACGCTACGAATGCTACAGTAGGGTAAGACCAAAGATGTATGGAGGAGTACATACTGTGTCGATCCTCTGTAGGGATAAGGGCAGCTTAATGATGTTTATGAGTACACATTGTGAATAAATTCACAATTTTTAAATCAAAACAGCGACAAAGGTTGCGGAAATGTTACTTTAATCCGTATAATGGAGCTTTATTTTTAAGGTATTTTAAAATTATTGTCAATAAAAAATAGTCTGAAGTGTTGAGTAAGATCCAGAAAGGTGCTGCACTTTATTGAGCTTGGTAAAGCTTAAATGGCTTTAGTTTTATGCTCCGATCAATCTTTATAGTTGCGGTCTTATCAAGGTTTGATGTCGCACGTGTTTTATTTGAATCTCGCCTGAACGACCAATAAAAGTAAACCTCGGGGAGGAAAGCAAGTATTACACTTATCAAAAGGAACATTGTTGCAGCGGGTTTGATAACAAATTTAATAATGCAATAAACAACATAACTGATAAAAGTTATAACTTCCTTGTATTTCTAATCTGTTTCAAAAAAAAGTCTTAACTTTGCATTCCCAAACCAATTATTCTTTGTCAAACCGTTATTGAACGACGTTATACTCACAAGAGAAAGATAAAAATCAGTGATTGCTTTAATTATTCCTGTACATTTGTATAAGACTAGTTCACTATATTGTTCTTGCGTGAACTAACTTTACTCACTTCTTTCTTCTAGTTGATCTTTAGAAAATGTTACAAGTCTAAAAAGGTTTTAATTGCTGGAAAACAAATTTTCAAGTTCTTCCAAACATTTGAAACTTGAAAGGGATCCTAAGTAAACTGTGTTTCGTTGAAACTTGGCTCTGTTATCTTGAATAACGAGGATAAAGGAACGTTGGGCCGCAAAGTAATGCTAGAAAAGTTGGCTCAGATATGAAGGATGCCATTCAACTGCCTGAGTATTGTAACAGGATGAATTTTGTTTCTTTTGTTCGAAGTTGATATCTCTGAGGCGGACAAAGGGTATTTTTCTTTAGAGAGAATAAGTTACTAAATTATAAAGAGTTTCGGTCACACGAAAGATTTAAAATCAATTTAGAAATGTGTAATACATGTAAATTATATTTTTGTATAATATATAAGAAGTAAAATAAAATCTAAATTAAACTAAAACGGAATCCATAATGCCTGATCACCTCTCTGCGTTGTAGGCGTTAGTTCCTTAAGGTCATAGCCTCAGTAATAAATTTTTGACAAGATTAAAAAAGTATATAACTTTTTACTGCCAATGTTTCTCTTATGTCTCGCTTGAGATTGAACAGTAATGCCAGGAACTTGGTTTACGGTTTAATTTATGTTTAAATTACTTTATTATTATTCCCATGAGTAAATGTAAAAATTTAACAGTGCATATAATATTTTTAAACATATCAACATCAGCTCACTTACGTCCCTACCGAGGGGCTCGGAGCCTACTCTAAGTTAAAAGTGATTAGGCCACAGTCAACCACGCTGGCCAAGTTGGGTTGACTTCACACATATCTTTGAATTTCTTCTCAGATATGTGCAGGTTACATCACGATGTTTTCCTTCACCGTAAGAACGTCGTATATGTATGTACATATGTAAATCGGAAATCGAAAATCACATTAGTACATGGCGGCATTAAAACAAATACAGTTTAGTAAAATAAAAATACGAAGCTTGAAAATCTATTTTTAAAAAAGTGATATTCTATTTACATAAAAGATAAGTGTCTATTAGTATGTTTCTAAGTTATCATAAGAGTTGTTAAGTACGCAACTTTGCAACTATGTTATGCTTTGGAGGAAAGCCAAAACTATGTTGAAATACGCAAATTAAAATAAAACGCCACATTTGCACTAAAAGTGCGACTATAAGGGTCGTATCGCACTTCGTCGTCTTGATATTTTTGAACTTTATTACGTCTATAAAGTGAATATTATTTTCTTTACTAAAAAATCCGTAAGTGTTACATTGTTAGTGTTTTGAAATCATAAATAAATGAACCATTGAAATAAAAAGTTATGATATAAAAAATAAATTATAAACTTGCTACATACAAAAGATAAATAGGTAATTGTTTGTATATGTATGTCATTGGTTATTGATAAGAGTATGTTTCCACTAGACTAAGACTGTTTATAGTCTGTGACTATTAAGAAGCTATGGTTTATGGTCTGTGGCAGGCGCGATCGTACAAGTGGAAATAGCCATTGAAGTTAACCAGAATCTGACTGATAGGTCAGAGTTCAAATCCAACAGCAAAACCTATAAGCAATTTTCGTCAGTAAAAAGAAAACGCCTTAAATTCTTGGAGTAATAGGAAGTGGAGAACAAAATGATGATTATTATTGCTGTCCATTTAGGCAATGTAACTCAGGTATTTGATGAAATGAAATAATAATATTGTTAGAACAAATTAACTGGAGTATCTAAAATGCTGCATCTTAGCCCTTATGCCGATAAGATAGCTACGTTAATGTTGCGAGAAAACAGTGTTGATTTTAACCTCCCGAGCAAATTAAGTATTAACATGGGCATTTATTATGCATATATTTTTGCTTACTTTATTTTTTATTATAATATATCACATTAAGTGAAAATTAACACTTTATGTTATATTCTAAAAGTAAAATAAAAACAATAATAAAATTTCTAATTCATCGTTTCTCAAACTACATTGTATGACTAATTTTGAGAGGATTTTGTACATATAAGACATAATAATCTTAATTCAACATACAACTTACTTTTAACTTATAAAAGTTGGAAACAAGTTCGAGGGCATTTTAGCGCTCCAACAAACTCTCAAACTTCGAGAATACGAAGCGCGCGATTTATTTTCGTGGAAATTTTAGATCTCTCTGTTATTATTTGTACAATAAGCTTTGCAAGTTTAATGGAAATTATTAAACTGTCGCCGTCTACCAAATATTTGGAGAAACACTACTTTTATTTTTGTTTTTACGACTATTTTATCACTCGAATTAAATATATATCTAAAAAGTTTTGTTTTAAAGGCATTTCATTATTTCCAGTAACATAACAATATTCAAGAAAGTACCAAGTAGCCAATTTATATTACTACGGAATAGAATATTAATTGACTATAAACTAATAACTTTAAATCGGTCTAGTATTCATGCTACGTGCGATCTCAATAGAACTGGACATACTTATTTTTTATACTTTAGGTGGCAAACGAGCGGGCGGCCACCTGAAATCGCTGAATAGCGTAGCGACCGGTGCCCATAGACATAAACAATTGTATATGCGTTGCCTACCTTTAATCGACGGAGGAGAGGATGCACAGAAAGAAAACATTTCCATGCATCCTTTCATCCGGAAAGTCGACTTCCACTTCTCATCAGACGAAACGCGGAATTGCTTCCACTTCACGCCTATCTTCTGTGTGGTCGTGGTATTTCACCGGGCGAGCCAGGCCAATTCGTGCGAAGATATTAAAGTGGGCTCTTCCACTGTTAAATACTACATAAAACATACTTTTAAGGAGAAGAAACTAATATCTTACCAAAAGCTATAGTACTAATATTTAAGACAAAGAGCTATAAATCTACTCAACGTGTTCTATATTTAGTAATTCTACCCCCGACTTAATCATGTGAACACATTGTCACATTGATATTTGAGTCATACCAATGTAATGTAATCTCGTCAAGTAATAACCAGCAGTGTGTAGACGCTCGTATATCCAGCCAATTACTGACAGAACCGCTCAACTACAACGACTGTTTGTCTGTCTGTCTATGATATACGTGGGCGATATGATTTTATCAACGATATTACTAACGTCATGATTTCAGTGTTTTTTGTGTAAATTATATATGAATAGCAGACAAATAATTAGTCAAAAAGAATAAAAATCCATTTAATCAGTAAAAAAAAAATTCTACTAAAAATTTAGGACAGATGAATTAATGAATTGCTTAATACACGTGTTTTTAATCGTTTCGTTTCTACAAATAATATTATTTATTATGATCAACTTTTACTCAAACAGTCGCGTTTTTGTTCTATACTCCTAAAAAAAAACAAACTTGTATTTCACTTATTCAAATCGACCATAATTTAAGGCATAAAAATCGAGGCTAAATTATTACTTGAAATAAAACATTTCTTTATAGATCAGACCCATTTCACTGTCATGTCTTAATCATTATTACAAAAAAATATTCTTTGCAATCTGATTCCGTTTTGTCGTCTGGAACGTTGAATATTTTTTTTTCGGTATATTGTTC